AAAAAAAAAAAGAACACATATGTATGAGTATATATCTGCTAATGCATATGCCTATATTTGGATCATGAGCTTGTGTTTTAAGTAGGTATATAAGGCTGGTGGTTCAAACGCACCAACCACTCCTCGGAAGGAAGGTTAGGCAATCTACTTCCGTAGTGATACCACCTCGGAAACCCAAGGAGGGGTCGCTATGAGTGGGGTCCGTTTCAACCGCACATAACAACAACATATGTGTGTGTGTATATATATATATATCCTTAAGGAGTTCTGGTGGTATAGTGCCTAAGGCACTAAACTGCTAGCCAGAAGGTTGGCACTTCAAAGCCACCAGTCACTCCGCAGAAGACAGACTAGGCAATCTACTTCCGTAAAGATTTACCGCCTCAGAAACCCAAAGGGGGTCGCTATGAGTCAGAATCAACTGGGTGGCAGAGAGTTTGGTTTTTGTTTTTTTGGTTTTTATATGTATCCTTGTAATCACTACTTAGAAACTTTGTGACCTTGAGTAAGTTCCTGAGCCTCTTTGAGTCTAGATTCTCATCTATACAATGAGAATAATAGTAGCTGTCTCATGAGGGTTTTGTGAGGATTAAATGAGATATGGGTGTAAAGCACTTAGTACTGTGCTTGGTGCATAGTAAATGCCCAATCATTATTAGCCATCCTTATCTGTACACATGTACACTGACTATGCTTGTGTATATTTACATAGTTGTAAATCCACAAAGATTCATATAAAAATATTAACTCTGATTATCTATGGTTGATAAGTGAGTTTTCTTTTGGTTGGTTTTGTGCTTATTTCGTTTTTATTGTTTTTTTTATATATTTTAAAATTTTCCTAGAAGACTATTTCTTCAAACTCATGATGATTTTAAAAAAATAAAGATGGCTTGACCCTGATACACCTCCTCAATTCTACATATTTAAAGCTATTAAATACTACACCAAGATAAATATAATTTTGATAATTCACCACGTTTCGTAGTCTAGCAGTGTATTGATATCACCTAATAGCTCAAGAAGATGGCAGTACCAGAAAAAAAAAAAAAACAACTTTTTTGCTTGTTTGCCTTATCCAAGTCAAGATGAAAAGAACAAATCAGATGGCACTATGTTATTGTTGTTATGTGCCGTCGAGTCGGCCCCGACTCATAGTGACCCCTCCTTGGGTTTCCAAGGCAGTATCACTACAGAAGTAGGATTGCCCAACCTTCCTTCCGAGGAGTGGTTGGTGGGTTTGAACCGCCAGCCTTCTGGTTAGCAGTCAAGTGCTTTTAGCCACTATGCTACCAGAGATGGCACTATAAGGTTAGTATAATAAGCACACACCTTGATGACAGTTAAGTGACATTTGTCATTCCCATTTTACTAATGCAGTAAGGAACCCAGCATCCTGCCCAAGGTCATACAAAAAGCATGTGCCAAACCTCATGGTGTAAAGAGATCTAAAGACTAGGCTGCACTGCCATAATTTGGGCGTATTTGTGAAACTAAGAGGCTAAATTCTTAAGCAGGCATGTCAGGAGTCCCAGCTGGAGGGAGGAGGAAATTACAACACACGACTGATGACAGCAAAACAAACCAGTGACTGTCCGCACCAGCATTAATCTACATGCTTTGATCATAATTGGTTCCCTTTATTTCTGAAACATAGAATTGTACATCATCTAAGACAGGGCACTTGATTCCATAAAAATGCACGATTGACACGATATGCAAATTATACTGAAAGCATCTGAAACCTGACAAAAAGCTAGCAGTTACTTGCGGTTCCAATCAACATTAGTTACTACCTGGCTTGATTCCCATAATTACGACGTGTTAGATTAAGTATCTCTTAAAAAATCCTCCAGCAGGTCCCCCTAAATTTCCGGGGAAAACCTGGTTACAGACAGCAGGGAGAAAAACAAGCAGCTGTTTTCCCTGAGGCCTCAATTTATAAATCATACCCAAGATAATACTCCAATCATTCCCTATACATTTCCTCCCCAGCTATGCTATTAAATCTCTTAAGTCATTTTCTGGCGTTTAAAACACACACACGCACGCGCCCTGCACCCTTCCCTGTAACTCGACATTTTGAGACATCACCGCTAAACATCGCCTTTTCCAAATCGACCTCTAACTACAGACTTGTCTCTTGCTTCATTTTTTACTTGTGTCTTAAAACGCAGGCAAGGGGGATGGGTTTTGACAAACACAGCCCAAGCTCAGAAATCCTGGGTAATCGCATCTCGCTGCGCGGAGCTGTAGGCGACTGTGGGTGAGATTTTAATCTTCTCTCTCCACCCAGTTTCCATTTTCATTTGATGTTCCTTTTTTCCCCCCTTTCCCATAGTATCAAACCAAGGGTGGAAAAAGGGAAAATGAATGTTGCCTGTCGATGCCTCCTAAGGGTCTCAGGTTCTGATTCACAGACCCGCCCGCCCTGGGAAATGAGATCAGCCAGGTTTTTCCAACTCCTGGGTCCCGCCAGTGGTCGCCAAGGGGAGGACTGGGCCCGCGGCGGCGAGGGATCCAAACCCGGGCCCGACTGACCAGCCCAGGCCCAGCGCGGCCTTCCAAGCCCCGACGTCGCGTTGGCCGCAGGCCGGGCCAGCGCGGCTTGAGGCGGCCGGCGGGAAGGACTGAAGCGGGGACAGGGGCAGGACCCAAGCGCTGCTCACCTGCTGGTACCGGCTGCCGCAGGCCGGCTCAACCGCCGCCAGCGCCGCCGCTGCCAACGCCATGGCGCAGCCGGACGCGGGGAAGGAGAGCGAATGAGCGAACGAGCGAGCGAGCTGAGCGGGCGCTGTGGCCTGGGAGCGCGAGGAGGCCGAGGGGACACGCCTTGGTGGTTTTCGATGGCCGCTGCCGCGCTCGAGCCACAAGCTCTTCTCTGGCTGCCAGCGACGCCGCCGCCGAGGCTCGGACGCGGCCCCTCGGGAGGAGGCGGGGACCACGACGACGACGCCGCAGCTGCGCCGCCGCCCCGCCCCTGGCTCCCGCCCTGCACCACCTCCCTCCTGCAGCCAGGCCGGGCCTCGCCCTGTGCCGCCGCCCGCCGCCGTCCCCCACCCTCGGGATGAGGTCCCTCTCTCCAACCTGCGCCTCGGAGGTTGAAGTGTTGAATTAGATTCCACTAAAAACTAATTACTAACGGGCTACTCCTCTGATAGAGCAATGCTCGTAATGAGCCTCTCGTTCGTTCTCCTCTAACACTCATCAACCCCATGACACAGCCCAATTTTAGAGGAAGTCGTTGGTGCTCAGATAAATTGACAATCTTACAGAGATCTAATCCCTGATTTAGAACTGCAGAACCTTGGTTTTTACCTCCTGTGGTAGGCTGCCATCCTCATAGATGAGGCAGGCGTCAGCCAACAACAGCATGCAGGCCAAATCCGGTCTGCCATTGTGACCATGAAAAGTATATGAAATTCACATTTCAGCTTCAATATATAGGGTTTTATTGGAACACAACCGTTTCCACTTGTTTAGTATGGCCCACGAAGCCTAAAATACTTCCATCTGGCCCTTTACAGAAGTTTGCTGACCTACCATCCTTGGGACCTCTGAGGCCCCTTAGATCTCAAAGCCTAAGATAATAGTAGCATCTTCATATTTATGCAGTCTTCCAGTGTTGGGAGCTGGATGTTAATAAAGAAAATGGCAGAAGAATTGATGAATTTGAGTTGTGGTGTTGTCAAATATTGAGTATACTATAGATTGCTAGAAGGAAAAAACATGCCTTGGAGGAGCTACAACTGGAATGAGCCCTAGAAGCCAGAATGCCAGACTTTGTCTCTGGTACTTTGGTCATGTTGTCAGAAGGGACCAATCCCTGGAGAAGGATATCATACTTTACAGTAGAGGGTCAGCAAAACAGAAGCCTAAGTGAAATGGCTTGACACAGTGGCTACAATGATGGACGCAAGCATGGCAACGATTGTGAGGATGGTGCAGAATGCAAAGCAGTGTTTTCATTCTATTGTACATAGGGTGGCTATGAGTGGGAACCAACTGGACGGCACCCAACAACAAAAACTAGTGTATTAATGGTCTCATCTGTGAATCCTAGGACCATACTTTCTGAATCTCTGAGGAGGTGACATGAAAACCAAAACTTGAAAGATTTAGCTATAAAAAGCTTTACAGGCAACAGGAACATAGATGAGGGTGGAAAGAATTTGCTTCACAAAAGAGCTGAAAGGAAGTCAGCATAGTTGGTATAAAGGAGATACAGTTTTTTCCCAGAAGAGAAAATTATGCAGGAAAAGATTAAATATTTTACCCAAGATTACATCTGCAATCCTGCTAAGCCAGCCTCTTAAACCGTTATCATATAATTAAATTATCAACATGGTAAGGTAAGGGTATTTTTTCTTTTATATCTTCTAATATCCCAGCATCTAGTTCCATACACTATAGCAAGCATTCATTGACTGTTCCTTCTTTCTGTCACACACCCAGACATCTGGAATTGCTTCTACTCACATGTCCAACAAAAAAGAAAAAGAAAAATTTGATGTTAGAAGCTTGTTGTGATTCCCTTCTTTGTGATTGCCATTCCAACTTGGTAGTCTATAGTTGGTGTTAATATGATTATTGTTTTAGCTTCTAATGTTCAAGTTTAGTTAACTACATATTTGAAAACATGGCTATGTTTTGAACCTACCTTGAGGTTTCTGTATATGGAAGCAAATTATAATCAATATATAGTGTAGATAGTCATCTTCCTCCACCTTGAATTCTCTAACAGTACCCAGATGCCTATATACTTATTCCTATTTCCAAGTTGCTAGCTCACATATTCATATGCTGGGAGACAGAACAAATACAGTAACAGACCCAGCTAAGAAGTCTCAAAGTGGGACACTCAAGTTTTATGTTTTCCCCTCCTTACTGTGTCCCTAACTTACTGTTTTTAATCCAGAAAAAACAACCTTTAAAGGTAATAAAATCCAGTAAATCTTTCTAAACACAACACTCTCACTTGTGGTCTTAAATAAAGGGGAAAAAATTAAAGTCTAATCAATGGAAAGTAGAAATCCAGCCTTGTTTGTCCAAACTGTCCAAACTTAAATGTAAAAAGGAATTTAAAAATTATCTGTCCTGCCTCCTAGGGCTATTGGAGCAATAACAGCCATTCATTATGCATCTGTGCCACTCTTTGGCTTTGTGTGGAAAAGAAGCTGCTGCACCTCCCATCAACTTCTTTCATAAACTGCTTTCACCCTCAATATCTATACATTCCATGTATATGTAAACAAATATTTATCATGGTATAAATAATGAGTTTTCTCACAGGGATATGCTCTCTGGGAAGAAAAAAAAATTGATCAACTTCCAATCTCTTTCCTAGTATTCCTCTGATGTGCTCAACCAAAATGTTTTGTACTTACAAAGACTTTGTCATGTTTAGTCTTTTTGTCTCCAACCTCCCCAAAGCCTTTAGAAGTAAATGGAGATTATTTGCTTTGATTCAATGGGTGGATAAATTGGGAAATTGAGAAATTGAGTCACTGCTAAACAAGGTCTCCAGTTGGCAAGTAAATTGTACAGTGAAGGGGAAAACTCCAAATTTCTGACTCACAGCTCCATGCCTGGGGCAAACCAAACAGACGGAGAAGATAATCCAAGTCTGTAAAAATTGCACCCTTTGGCTTCATCTTGAGATGTTGTCAAGAGCATTTCCACAGCAAAAGTTATTAATTTCAAATTGCTGCACTTAGAAACTTATTTCCCCACAGAATAACAGTAATACTTTCCATGTGCAATATTTTTATGGGAATTGCTGAATCTGAATCATTCATCCTGAGAGGGAAGTGAAATAATATGGACAAGCAGGAACACAGCTCATGTCTGTATCTCTCTTCTCCAATTCAGATAAAAATCTCCTCTAGGATAGATATGGTCTTCTGTCTTTCACATCCACATGACCCATAAAATCTTTCAGTGGTCCCTCGTCTGACCTGGGCAGAGCTGAGCTCAATACATAACCAAGATGTGTTTGTTAAAGTTTTTCAAAGCCTCATTAATCTAATATCTCATTTGAGGCCTTGAACTTCTCCACCTCCAATTGGACTCCATGCAGTTTCGTTCTACTGACTTACTCCTTCTTTCAATTTACATTAAGTAAACAAGGGGATAGTGCATGGTTTAAAATCAGGAAGGAAGTGGATCATAGTTATTTAATCTGTATGCTGAGCAAATAATCGAAGAAGCTGGACTATATGAAGAAAAGCATGGCATCAGGATTGGAGAATGACTCATTAACAACCTGTGATATACAGATGACACAACTTTGCTTGCTGAAAGTGAGGATGACTTGAACCACTCACTGATAAAGATTAAAGACTATAGTCTGCAGTATGGATTACATATCAACATAAACAAAAAGGAAATCCTTACAACTTGACCAATAAGCAGTATCATGATAAATGGAGAAAGGATTGAAGTTGTTAAAGATTTCATATTACTTGGTTTCACAGTCAAAACCCATGGAAGTAGCAGTCAAGACATCAGACGACATACTGCACTGGGCAAATCTGCTACAAAAGACTTCTTTAAAGCACTGAAGAGCAAAGATGTCTGTTTAAGGACTAAGGTGCCCAACCCAAGCCATGGTATTTTCAATAGCCTCATATGCATGTGAGAGCTGGACAGTGAATAAGGAAGACTGAAGAAGGTTGATGCTTTTGAATTGTGATGTTGGCGAAGAATATGGAAAGTTCTGTGGACTGCCAGAAGAACTAACAAATCTGTCCTGGAAGAAGTGTAGCCAGAATGTTCCTTGGAAGCAAAAATGGCCAGACTTCGTCTGACCTACTTTGGTCATGTTCTCTGAAGGGACCATTCCCTGGAAAAGGATATCATGCTTGGAAAAGCAGAGGGTTGATGAAAAAGGGAAAAGCCCTCAAGGAGATGGATTGACATAGGGACTGCAATGATGTGCTCAGGTATAGCAAGAATTTTGAGGCTGGACTTCCAGTAAGATGGAGGAATAGGCAGACAAGTGACACAGACCCTCTTCAACAAAGAAAAGAAAACAAATTGACAGAGATACAGAAGATAATCCTGGAGCCCTGACCTTTGAAAGGAACTAATCAGAAGTAGATTAGGCACCAACTAGTGGAAAACCTGAATGAAAACAGTGAGTACAGAGACGGTTGGAGCTGCGGACTGTCAGCTACTCTGACAGGACCAACAGCCTGAATATTTCCAAGTGGTGTTGGGACTTGAGAATTGACCTAAAGATCAGCCCCGGTCACCAAGGGCTACAGGATAACTGCACTGGTGGCCTAGGAAGGGAAATAGCAAGGAGGGAAGCAACCTGAACTGTTGATTTTCTGCTGTCCAGAGTGTGCAGCCATTTTGATAGTTTGCATGTGGCAGCCATTTTGGATATTTAAAATTACCTAGGATGCAGCCATTTTGAATGTTTATAAGCAGAGGCCATTTTGGATATTTAAAGTGACAGCATTCTCATTTGGATTCCAGGGACCTAAGAATTCAGATTCCAGGGACCTTGGCTCTATTTTCCCAGGTTGGCAGGGACACACAAGAGGCTGACAACAGGAAAGGAGACAGGTGGCGAGTGTATAAGTGCTGTCAACTAGTGAATAGAGGAGCACAGCACAGTACCCTGCTTGAGTAGATAACATACAAAGAAAACAAAAATCATGGGCAAGCCACTCCAACATACAATCACCAATTAAATATAAAC